TGTTGCCCCCGCGCCTCGCTCAGCCAGTGAGCGGGAACCGGTCTGTACGTGGGATCCAAACACTCGACGGGAGCGCCGCTGCGCTTCCCGAGCGGCGCACTAGCGCAGTGCGCCACCGGGCCAGCCCAAAGAGAGAATCTTAAAAGCTGCAAGAGAGAAGAGTCAAGTCACCTATAAGCAAGCCCCAATCAGACTAACATTAGACTTTTCATCACAAACCCTAAAAGCCAGAAAGGAATGGGATGATATATTCAAAATACTAAAAGACAGAATTGCCAGCCAACAATACTTTACCCCACAAGGCTACCCTTCCAAAACGAAGGGCAAATAGCATATTTCTCAGACAAACAAAAACTGCGGAAGTTCACTACCAGACGAACACCCTTACAAGAAATTCTCAAGGAAGTACTGGGTTTGGTACCTGAAAAACAACTACCACTGCCATAAAAACCCAAGAAAAATCAAAACCCAGCAGTAAAATAAAAATGCTAACAATAAAGAAAAAAAAAGTATCTACAACCAAAGAAATCAACAAATACAGAGAACAAACAGTAAATCAGAAAGAAAGGAACAAGACATCCAAACAAAAATCAATAAAAAGCTAGTAGTAAATCAACATTTTCAATAACAACACTTAATATAAAAGGATTAAATTCCGCAATCAAAAGACACAGACAGGCTGACTGGATTAAAAAGGAGGACCAAACTATATGCTGCCTTCGAGAGATGCACGTACCCTATAAAGACTCACACAGACGGGGCCGGCCCGGTGGCGCACTGCTACACTGCGCCACTTGGGAGTGCGGTGGCGCTCCCGCCGAGGGTTCGGATCCCACATACAGACCGGTTCCCACTCACTGGCTGAGTGAGGTGTGGACGCAACACTGAGGGTTGCGGTCCCATTGCCGGTCCCGGTCTGGTATGGGCACGACACTGAGGGTTGCGATCCATTGCTGGACATGAAAAAAGACAAAAAAAAAAAAAGGAAAAAAAAAGACTCACATACACAAAGAGTGAAAGGATGGAAAAGATTTACCACACAAACAGAAATGAAAAACGAGCTGGACTAGCTATTCTATCTGATAAAATAGACTTTAAACTAAAAACCATAAAAAGAGATAATGAGGGCCTCTACAAAATGATAAAAGGATTCATCCATCGAGAAGACAAAACAATCACAAATATATACTCACCCAATGTTGGAGCAGCCAGATTTATAAAGCAAACTCTATTAGACCTAAAGAAGGAGATAGACACTAATACCATAACAGCAGGGGAACTGAACACCCCACTCTCAATATTGGACAGATCATCTAGGCAAAGAATCAACAGAGAAACACAAGATCTAAACAACATTCTAGAGCAATTGGACTTGGCAGATATCTACAGAACATTCCATCCAACAACCTCAGAATATTCATTC